CCTTCTTATACTCATCCTGCCTAGGCAGTTCTGCACAGCGCACTGAGTGTCACACAGCTTCTTATCCACGCTCCGTGCCAGGGGAAGCCCACCTGGGAAAGTCCAGCACCGTGAGGAAAGGTGGAATAGTTCGCAGCTGTGCACAGAGGAGAGACTATGCAGTCTGGGCAGCTGTGCATTCGCCCATGCTGGAGCTGGCACGATACTTTCCACAAGCACACTGCTAGCCTATCTGCAGCAACAGGTATATGCAAAACCAGCAAGAACAAAAGTGCGAGCATGTCTTCTGAACCCCAGGCTTCAAGTTTCCCACGTGCACAGCCAACAACTCTACTCCCTGACCCCTAAGCTGCAGGAAGGAGAGGGAGAGTTTGGGTCTAAAATATCCCCTTGCCTCGAGGCTGTGTCCTGAACAGGGAGGTGCTGGGGCTGGGGCATGCTGGGGGTGGCAGAGGGAATGACTCTTGCCCTACCAGGTGTCTGGAAGAGCCCTGCCCCTTCTGCTTTTTACCATCTTGCTGAGTACCAGAGTCACGTGGGAGCTTCAGAAAGCCCAGACTCCTGGGCCTCACCACTTGCACACCTTCTGATCCAACCTCCTGTAAGCCACATCCTCCTGAAAGTGCAGTGATGTGGCCCCTGTATGTCCATGGAGTGTGTGAACTCTTGGTCTGTCGCCCGCCTAGCCCATCTCCAGGTTCCTCAGAGGTCTGCCCGTGTTACCGTCCTCCTTTCCCGAACCCGTGTCTTCTACAGCTGTGGGTCTGGCCTTTCTCCATGGCACCTTTGGCTATTCTTTTCATCCACATTTCACTTATACTTTACCCATTCCTGTTGAGATGTTTAATCCTTTGTCACTACTGTCAATTTTGTTAAAAATCAAGTTCTAAATTGCCTATCTGCTTCCTCCACTTTTAATCAAATAGACAAAAAAAGGTATATACTTATTTGTTACCGAGACACACCTCATTTAAAGGAAGGGATGCTTAAATGATTCCCATTTTCACATATATTCTTATTCCCGGCAGAGATTCCCAGAATAGAGAAGCAGACAGATTCTAGTCTCAGCACACGAAAATATGTCCACTGTCCCATGCCCATTTTAAATTCATAGATGGTCAGGAAGATGGCAAAGTCAGTGGAGTTGACCAGTCCCTTTGATTAGAGGTCTGCAGAGGACACCAGGGGAACTCTAGCTCCCATGTGACACTGGCCACCTGTCTGCAATCTCTCCACCCATTTAGGTCATCTCTATACATGGGAGGTCTAAAGTGAGCATGTGGGGTGGACAAGTGACAAACCTGGCATAGCCGCTTCCCAGATCAACCACTAAAGAAGGACAGTGACATTAAGAAAACTGTCACACACACAAAGAAGCATGTCATGATAATATGTGGTTCATGAAGGATAGTGCAGGCACATAGCTTGCCAGAGCCCCAGGCAGGAAGACTTCCTGGGAGAGGTGAATCCCAAAGCGAGAGGAAATGGACAGCCAGAAAGAAGAGAGTGGGAGCTGCCAAGCATTTAACTGCTGGTGCCATGGGTTTGGAGGGATTCGGGAACCAGAACATCTCCTGCTGCTCCCCACAGGAGAGCCAATAGTTAGCATGACACTTGAGATTGTAGGGAGAGAATAATCTCTCCTGTTACAGGAGCTCAGGGAGCCTGGACTGGGTTTATCCACATTCCCAGACGTACTCTGTGAAGATCTGATTTCCAGGCCAACAACACACCTCCCTGTCTTGATGTTATTAAGCACAGACTCATACACATGGCCCTCATCATTCTTTGTATGGACTCCAGACTCACCAGAAAAAAAGCTCCAGCTCAGGTCCTGAAGATGACACAGTTTCCCAGCTCAGGCAACCTGAGCCAACCAGGAATGACACTTTGAGATGATTCTGTAAGTTCCCAATGTCCAGACATGTCTGGGACATTTAGAGCAGACATCTCACCGATAGTCAGCCCAAATGAACATGAGAAGCCGATCTTTTCTGGGTAGAGAAACAACTACCCAGGACACAGAATTTTAGGGTCTCATCCCTACAGCTATTCCACTAAAGAAAGGAATCAACCACCCATGTCAAACTCACAGGGTCATAAGACCCAACTTAGCTCTTTGCTCTTTTTGTCAGATGAGGTCCTTGATCTTCTCAAACCCTGATCACCCCAGTGATCTCCAAGGTATTCCAGAGTTACCATCCCGGTAACATCAGAACCAACTCCTTTGATGCCAAGAGAAACCAGATACAGGCTTCCTGATTGACAGGTTGACTAGACCCCTCCCAGGTGAGCTGAGACAACCGTGTGTATGGCAGAGATCACCCTCGTGAAATAAAATTTTTGTTGTTATAAAATACAAAAAAGTTCTCCATTACTCAAGTCATCACCTCCCTCATGCCCTGCCATGCCCATACGCTTCGTTCTCTCTTGATTCTGTTGCAGGGATCAAGCCTGGACCTCCTCTACTTCTGGAAGATTTCCATTTATACTTGGGTAGAGTATAGTAGTAGTCATAGCCACACAAGGAAATGCTATTTTGACAGTTAGAAAAATCCACATAAATTACATGTAACGATTTAAATCAAAACACATTTATAAAAGCACTCTTAGGAACACTGTAATGTTAAATAATAATTCAAAAATATGTAACATAATACGTTGAGTATAAGTAATGGGTCATTTATCAGAGCAATGTTTAGAATAAAAAATTCACAAACAATTCCTTGGGGATTTCTGCAAGGGAATCCAACTGAGGAAATTTTAGGGTACAAACGTGACCGTGACGTCCCACACTGAGCTACCGTGGGCCCAGTGCCTGGGACTTTATCTGAAGGCAATGTGTGCCATCTTAACAGCCTTCCCCTGTTCCCTAAGCTGTGAGTCCACGGGGCCCCAGCGAAGCTGGCTGAGCTGCCCCTGGGTACCTGCTGAGCAGCAGCTCCTGTCTAGACTGTGGGCCTGGGAGGAGAGTGTGGAGAATGCTGTCTGGAAGAACACATATGGTTAAAACAGGGCAACGTGGTGCTGGGGCAGGGCTGGAAAAAGTCTGGACAAAGCCTGCCACCCTACAATGAGATACACTACAAATGACAGAAATAGAAGGCGTTACTGTGAGGGCACAGCTGGAGAGGGCCAAGCAGGGTAGAGGATCGCTGGGCTTGGAGGGCGAGTGCACTGGACAAAGGAGAGAGGTGTGGGATGCGCAGGCTCCAGGCTTAGCTGGCCCCTGCAGCCAATGACACCAGCTGTTAAGTCAAGGTCCTCTGAGGCTACTGTGCTGGAGGAACAGCACAGCTGTGGGAACAGATACACAATTTAATGGTAGATAAACCTAGTTAGATCTTGTTTTGTTTTTCCTGCACAGAGTAGAAGATGGCAGGATTCCCACACATGAATGCTCACGTGCTGCTGTGTCTCTGAAAATGCAGCCTTCTGGGAGTGCTGTGCCATGGAGTTGCCAGCGGTGTCTGGGCTTCCCCTGCTACTGCAATTTATTTTGTTTTGTTTTTCAGAAAGGTCTCCTGTAGTCCAGGCTAGCCCTCAAATTTACCAAGGGTGTAAATTTGTAGCTAAGGGTGACCTTGAACTTCTGACCCAAGTCCTGAGATTGCAGGCATGTACCACCATGTCTGGTTTATGGTGTGCTGAGGATCCAGTTCAAGGCTTCACACAGGATAGGCAAGCACTCTACCAACAGAGCCACGCCCCCAGCTTCCCATCTAAAGCTTTGTTTAATATTTCAGAGCTCAAAAACTAGATGCATGGTCTACAGATAGGCCAGACCAGTCGCCAGATCCCTTGCCTCATGCAGCTGACGACAGTGTGGGAGAAGCAGCCAACAAATCTGGGGCCTGTAGTTCACAGGGCATGCATGTGAGCCGTCAGTGAGAGCTGGGAGGGTCAGTACAGACAGACAGAGGAAGTCAGACTATAAGGTCTGGACGGTGAGTCTGAGTTAGCTGTGCACAGAGGCCTCCACAGAGAGAGGAGCATCGGAAAAGGTCCTGGGGCAGGAAAACAGGGAGACAGCGTGAGGGGTTACATAAAGCCAAGCGCAGTTGCTTAGAACTCATGCCGATGCAAAGCGAGGTCTGACAGGCGGGCAGAAGGGACGTGGAGGCGGTGAAGATTAGTTCGGTTTCCACTCTTGCTGAAAGCCAAAGGAAAGCCATCGACCACCATCGTACCGTGTAGAGAGAGGAATAGCCACAGCATTGTTTAACCTGCCCCCCCACCTCCAGGACCCTGGTCCTTTCAGGGCAGGCTTACCCACTTGCATGAGTGGGCCTTCTAAGAAAGCTCTCATGTGAGGGAAAAGCAACCTTTTTTTCTCAAAAGTACTGGCATTCTCCAGTTACTATGATGAGGAATGCAGGTGTGTGTTTTGCTTTTGAAGGCCTCAGGACCAACAGAGCTCATTTCCAATGCTCACCCATGCTACCCAAGCGTACGGCCAAGAGAGAGAAGTACTGGTTCAGAACAGCAGAAAGAGGTTGGCTCAAGAGCGCCGAGGACTCACAGGAGTGACACATTCTTCAGATCTGAGATACAGAGAGACCAACATTGCTTCCTTGTAGCGGGACGCCTTCCCGCATGTGCCAGCTGGTAACAGGGCAGACAAGCCTTGTCAGCTACCTGGGTGACCTCGTACGGTTAAGACTCAAAGATGTGTTCTACGCTAATTTGTCTGAGTGATTCCTTCCACTTTCAAGCAGAAATCTGGAAGCCTGTATTGAAACCCTCAGTTGTTTCCAAGCGTTCTTAAGAAGCAGCGAGAGTGTCTTCGTGCTCGCGAGAGAGCGTTCTAGAGACTGATATGTGCACACCACTCAACAGCCCGTGGTTTCCTGTTTCAATTCTCTTAAACGAAACGCATCTCCCTTCCAGGCGTTTCCAGAACATTCTGAGACAAGTATAAAAAGGAAGGCGCCGCATTCTTCTCGGATTCAGTCACCCACGTCTTCAGAAGAGCACTGTCGTAGTGCTGGCTCACTTACCATGCCCCGGACAGCAGCTGAGCCCGTCCTCTCTCCGTCTTCCCCGTCTGCCTCCTGGTCTTCATTGTCAGTCCAGGAGGACACATCCTCCACTGAGCTAGTCAGGTCAGGCAAACTCTTCGAGGTTAAGCTCAGGAGGTCCTCCGTGGAGCTCTCCTAATAGGACACACGAAAGGCCCAGGAATTACTCCCGGGTACCAGCTGCCGATGGGGTCGACCTGATGAGACCAGCCACAAGCTCTACCCGAAGAGCGTGTTGAGTGTATGACCCACACATCACCATCAGTGTCAGGGTGGTGATAACATTTAAAGCCGAAACAGTTTTGTGGTTCCTAACGAATTTGGGTTGGGGCTCCCATGAGCCTCCTCCCTGTCGCTGTTCAGATCAGTGACGTTCTTTCATGGGCAGCTCCATAGGTTAAAGAACAGGTCTCCACCTTGTGCTCCAAGCGTCCCTTTCCTTCCCTGCCAGCCTCGAATTCCACTCGGATCATTTCTAATACTCCTCGTGCTGCCTGCCAACCTCTCCCCGGACCACTCATGACTGTGGCCTGCTCTTACAATCGTGGGCATTCATTTGCACCATCAGGGTGCCATGCAAGTCAAGAGGTGCTGTGACCCCTCCTAGGGCAGATGATGGAGCCTGGAGGCCGAGCACTTGCCTAGCACACATGGGTGGCTTTGACTGGCGGGCAGCACCAGCCTGCCCTTTCTTCTTCAGTGTCTTTGGCTCTTTCTTTCAACCTCTGCAGCATATGCCTAATTTTATTTGTCTTTCTCCCCTGTGTGCCTACTACTTCCTTCTACCATTTCTACTTACTACTGAGTCCTTGGGCCTAATCCAAAGCTCTAATGCTCACAAGGTCCTCTTCCCTTCCCTACTGGCTACCTTATTCACACCTTCTCAGTAAAGAGAGTCTATTTCAGAGTCAAAATGCCAACCTGGGGGCACAATGGCACCTGTTCAATGAAACAGCCCTTGGCAAGCTTTTCAAGATCAAAACCGATACACGGTCTCAGACTCCATTATGTTTAGACTCCATGAGGCACCCTTTGCATCATGGGATGCAGATGAGACGGTCATGAGTCTCCATTGTATACAAGGAGCACCCAGGAGCCTGGCACACTCTCTAGAAAGGCAACCAGACACCAAGTCCAGAGATGGGACCAAGGGCTGAACTGCTGAGCCAGGGAAAGACTGGAGCGTTTTCTCCTCATTTCCTCACCCTGGCCACTTCGAAAGGGAGTGGAACAAACCACAAAGTCTGAACCATCAAACTGCTTGACTACCCACAAAATAAAGGACAGAAGCTGAAACCAACTAACAAGTTGTAATGGACGATATAATTTTTCAGTGATATGGCATTTAAAGTCAGCAATGTCTGTCGTCCGCTCCATGCCATTTTCAACCTTGAGGAACGTGAAGTACATTCACTTTAGGCAAACACTTTACCAACTGAGGTGTACTCCAGGCTTAGCACGATAATTTTACCCAAGCAATTGTGCATTGTTCGTCTCTATCTAATGAAATGAAGTCATTAGACAAGTTGTGAGTCCATTTCTCTACTATGTTGTCTACTCTGTCTGACCACCAACAAGAAAGTTCTTTTTTTCTTCTTTTTTTTTTAAAAGCAAACAAAGGTTCTAATGAATGAGTAGATCACATAGCAACTATGGGACAGAATGTGTCATGGCCTTAAAAAGCAGTGCTGAGATGAACTTCCTGTGGGAAAGGTTCTCACAGCATGCTGCCTAATGAACAAGTACATTAGAAGCATGTGTGACAGCCATGATATCCTCCATGTATGTGATTAGAGACTACATGTGCTCATGTTAGGACCAAGAGAAGGGCAGCCACTTCTGCACCACTCCCTCTGGCCAGCTGCACAGCTTGGGGCTTTCCTGCCTCCTTCAAGCTTTGTGACATCCTCAGAGGCCGTTCTTGAGAAAGTGGGATTTAAGCATGTAATGGCTTGCCCAGAACACACAGCTTTTCTCAGGGTGGAGCTGGCATTTAAGTCCAACTGAGATGGCCTCCAAGACACACTCTGTTTCTTGGCATTGGGCTCACTGAGAAGAGAATATGCATGCTGCGTGCGCGCGCACACACACACACACACACACACACACACACACACACACTTCTGAGCAGAAGGACACAACAGTTAGTGGACGGTACTTAAAGTTTTGTGACGTGCTCCCTAGGTCTAGAATCATAACATTTTTAAAAACATTTTTCTTATTCTTTATAGTCGGAAGTTGGAAACTCTCCCATCCTTCACACCCCAGGGATGACGACAAAACAAAGCCTATGGATAGCCTATTCTGATTGGATAAAGAGAAGGATTGGCTGGATGCCAGGTGACCCCAATGACGGAGGCTCCTCTTCCTCCTGCATGGGTGAGCACCCAGATAGTCAGGGACAAGGTTAGGAAGCAGCAGCAGGCTGAAGAGCTGACAGCCTGAGTGCAAACAGGACACATGGCACAAAAGATATTACCCTCTGAGGTCTGGGCCAGGTGCCCAGGACCTCATGGACTGAGAACTGGTTCCTGAATATTGCTCAGCCCTACAAGGATCCCAGCTCATGCTCCCCAAAGCCAAAGCCTCTGGGAGAAGCATGCTATCTTTTCCTGACACCCTGCTCTGTTATGCTTTATATCTTCTTTACCTTTAAGGCAGCTGGGTGAACAGAAGCAGCAGCCATTTCACAATCCATTGGACTTGGCAGAAAACCTGCTTTTGTCTACTGCCGTGGGGTATCAAGAAAGTTAAATAACCACTGGGATTTAAATGGAAACCTTTGAATAAAAAGAACACACATCTGCCTCAAGGGATTGGTTTAGCATCTAGCAAGACGATTCTAGTATCTGGCAACTATTATACACTCTGCCTTTTTCTTTCTTTCTTCTTCTTCTAAGGTGCAGGGTGAGTGGAGAGCTAAGCAACACTCGGAATATCTTTGGGGTCCTGTGATGTCCCTCATGTGGCAGCAGCATAGCTATGTGCACAGCTAAGATGTGTGTGTCCTTATATAGAGTCTCCTGGCCAGCCAGCAGTGGCCCATTCTTGTCTTCATCTCACATGTGTGTGTGGGTACACGCCATACAGGTCTCTCCTGGCAGAGACCTATACTTTTGAGCTGCTCCCTGGACAAAGGTGGCTGTGCAAATGAAACAGGCATGCTGCAAGCACAGGACCGTGTGCAAGACCCAGGGATGCTTTGCAATTCCTGATCTGCCTGGCAAAGTGAGGAGGTGGTCTCCCCTCCCCGTGAAACTTTCCCCCCTGCGTGGAGTGGTCGGCAGGAGGACAGAGAAACCCCCAGGACTCTGTTCTTCCTTGTCCCTAGCAAGGGATGCAGACAATCCTCTGGATGTGAAAGACCCAAAGTTCCTAGGGCCCACCGAGTCTCTATAGGAAGAAAAGACTACCACACAGAACGGGTTTAGCTCCGTCTTTGGGGCTTATAGCCTTCACCAAAGATGTGCCTTGGCAAACCTAATGTCCTGGTTAGAGGTTTGAGGTAAAAGGTAAAAAGAAAGGCAGATTTTTCAGACAGCTCGAAATGGAATCCTAATATATTTGTTGTATATATAGCTAGTTGTGTTTTGTTACCTGTGAGAGACTTTTCACAGACACCAGAGTCCAAGGATGCTCAAATCCCTCATACATAACGATATAGTATTTTCATGAAAGCTGTACACATCTTTCTGTACACTTTAAATCATTCCCATGTTGCCAAGACAATGTGAATGCTCTGTAAAGTGCTACTGGATTATTTAAGGAGCAACAATGGGAGGTGGAGTCTGTGTTCATTAAAGATGCAAGTGCTATTTTAACTACTGCCCATCTGAGGTTGGTTGAGCCTATGGATGGAGACCCATGGGAGACGCAACTGCACTCCTCAAACTGGCAGTGATCTTGTAATCTAAGAAGGAAAAAAGTATGTGAAAACCTGCACATGCCAACCCCCAAAATAAAAATGGGGAAGATGGAAAGAGAATTAAAAGTTCCGGCAACTGTATCTATGCAGAGCCAAGGTGTGTGTGGCCTCACATAGATGCTCTTGGTCGGCCAGTCAGCAGCAGAAATAGCTGCATGGCTCTATCTTATTTACTCCTGAGTCATAGGGCCTCTTTAAAAGTCTCAGCAGCACAACCAGAAAACACAGCAGGAAGGTGAGCAGTTATTGTCTCCTGTGCTCGTCAGAATTGTGGCACCAGCAGCCTTTCTCCAGGGGTTGAATGCAAGATGCTATGAGCCCATGACATAGTCATCACATTAACATACACGTGAAAGAAACTCTGACCTGGGGTTTCATGATCCCATTAAGACAGTGGAAACCAGGAGGGAGAGGTGGCAGCAGAATGGGCTAGACAGGGGGCTGTGTGCCAAGAGCTTGGTGCCTGGCACTGATGACGGCACCATGACCTCTGCAAGATGGCAGCCACTGTGGATGCTCTTCTTCACTGTCTTATCTGTACAGCTCGGGACGAAGAGAAAACAGAGGTTGTTGGACAAAGGAGGCACGGGGCTTCCTCCAGGTCCAATGTCGTAAGGGGGACTGGACCAGGGTCCCTGGCCTGCCTATGGACAGCCTGGAAACTTTCCTCACTCTGGCCTTAGAAGACATGTTCCTTACTGCTGTGGTTTGGATGTGAAGGGCCCATCCCCCTCACTTTCAGCTATGTTGGAGGCCTGGTCCTTGGTGCAATGCTCAAAGTGGGACTTAAGGAAGTGGCTGGATCTTGGTGAAGGGATGAGTCCGTTAATGGATTCATAATCAGAGCAATGGGAGGTGTGGGAACTGAAGGATGGGGCCTAGCTGGACTAAGTGTGTCACTGGGGTGTGCCTCTGAAGGTCTCTTTATGACACAGTGTCTTTGTTTCCCAACTGCCTCAGGCAGACGGCTTCCCTTTGCCCACCACACTCTTCGTCATGATGTTTCTGCCGGTCATAAGCCCAACAATGGATCCAGCTGATCACAGACTGAAGCCATGAGTCCAAATAACTTTTCTTCCTTAAGTGGCTTATCTCAGGTATTTCTTCATAGTGACAAAAAACAAACAAACAAACAAACAAACAAAAAATCAAAACAAAAAACAAAACACCCCACCAGTCCACCCAGTTTCTTTCTTTCCAACTCTTCATACTTCTGCACCTCCTATTCCTTCCCTTCATCCTATTATTACCTTTCTAACAACCGCTTTTAATAACTTAAATAACTGAGCATACTTCAGTTAAGAGTCTTCACACATGCTTGTCCTGTGGCATTATGGCTACTGCATAGCCCAGGGTAAGCTGAAAGCACACACATATCTGTGTAGCCTGGGAAAGGCTCACGTCCAAATTCCTACTACCATTATAAACACTAAGGACGACAAAAACTACCTACCTTGCTGGCCACCACCAGCTGTACCATCCCAGTGGCCGAGCGCAGAATGGCCACAGCTTCCTCATGGGAGAGCCCGACCAGTAAGTGACCATTGATCACCAGCAGTTCATCTCCTAAGGACAGTCTGCCATCCCTGAGGAAACGAAGATGGGAGGAAAAAGCCCTGGTCAAGACATTCTGGGTAGGAGAAGGATCATCTTCTAGGAGCTAGGCAGTGTCATGGGAAGGGACAGTCATGGAAGAGGAAGCAATGACAAGCAAAGATGGTTTGGGGTGGGACTGCTTTAACATGAGTATCCAGATTCCCAGGAGAGGAGCAGAATATGTCTAGGATTCTTGATGGTCACTTAGTAATATGCTCACTCTTAAGCTAAACATATCTGACATCAGTGTCAATGACACGCCATCTGGATGATTATTGTGATATATCAACTATGACCCTTGGGTTTTAGGAGAGTCAAGTCATTCTTTCCCTAATCTTCCCTGTCACTGGCTCAGGGCTATTGCTGAACTGAGCACAGACAGTGCCAAGACATGCTAGGCCCACCTGCAGCCCTTCCCTGGCCCACTGTCCCTCCATCACACAGAGGCAGGGCTCCTTCTGGGAAACAAGTCAACTAGCTTCTCTCCTTTCATATTTGCCTCCCTCTTTCTGTCTTTCAATAACATCTCTCTTGCTGTCTCCTTCTCTAGGGCATACATGATAATCTTTCTTTATGAGTTTAGGCTTTAATAAGAAACAAGAGGCACAGGGGACTTCCAACAGCCTCTGCCTTCTGTTTTCAGAAGTCCCTAAAGCAGAGAAATGCTAAGGTCCCAACTAGTTATTTAGCATGCTGAAACAGAGGGAATGGGAAAGGCATCTGGGAGGGACATGCTAGAATCTCAAGGAGGTGTATGGATTGGGGGCTGAGCCTATGGGAGGAGGGGACCTTGCAGAGACAATTCAATGGACATGGCTAGTGGGCTTACTTATTCACACCACCACCAAGACATCCCAGCCCATCCCTTTCCTTATTCTGCTCTCTGATGCCATTTCTCTCATCTCCTGTTATTAATTAGAAGGCCTCACTGTTGATTCATATACCACAGAGAAAACACACACACAGAGCTTCAGGCTAAGAATGAGAAGAAGACAATGGACTGACTTAGCCATGGCCCTGATGGAAAAGCACCGAGAGCATCCACATAAAGCTTATCTCTGAGTGCAGGAATTTCCCCATCACCAGCCTGCCAGAAAGACCAGAACACAAGACATAGCACTAATGGGAAAACAGCTAGCTGCTGAGAGTTCCTTAAGGCATATCAGGAATGCCAGTCAGGGAGTTTAATGATGCTCATCTGGGGTAAAACCATCTAAGGTCTTAATCTCTTAATAATACTGTCATTTGGATAATTGACAGTTGCAGTTAATCTTACCGCTACTGTAGTTTTTAGCATCCTACCATATGAGGCTGAAGAGTAAGAAGCAATCTGCTAGCTTTTGCCTGGTCCTCTCTTCAGTTTTCTGTTATTCAGCCTAAATAATTCTAGTTCCTTCAAGTACACTGTATGAGATAGGTTTTCCCTCTCAGTCTTGGGAAGGCTGACATTGCTTTGGTCCATCATATCCCTCTTGGAAACTGGCTCCCCTGCCTGGAGAAATTCCAGACTAGATAAAAGAAAATCACTTCCCTGTCAGTATCAGTGCCATTCTCTCTGTACTCTTACTGTGTGTGTGTGTGTGTAGGCATGGCAACGCGTGGACATACCCTACCATGCCATAAGCAATGGATACCCCATTCGAATGGAAGCAAGTAGCACAGTGAAGACCATTTGGGGATGGCGACATATCTCACACGCAGATAACCTTTTTCATATGTGCTCCAGCTAAACGAAGTCCCTTTCCCTACTTCACACAATTGTTCAGATCCAAAAGACATGGTTTTAAGTACTGCTTTTTAGGTTACATGGAAAAGATTCACATTTATTTTTCCTCTTCCTCATGTGCAATAGAGACATGTGATGGTGTGTGTGTGAAACTCTGATATATCTGACACATTTACATGGTGGCCACACTTTTAAACCAGTGCCACTTTCCCCGAATCATTAGTCACAGAGTCACAGGACATCAAATGATGTCAGGAACGTGACCTTCTGTTCAAGAGCATTTTCTTGATAAATAACCACGTAGTACCACAGTCAATGCTAGCATCCCAAGAATTAGGATAAGTAGGTAATCTTGAAAGGGAGTACAAAGAAATCAAATCTCTGCTCCACAGTTTAGAATACCCCGAAGAGCCACTTCCTGTGCCCGAGGTGTGGTCAGTTAGAACCACTGTTTGTTTTCCTCCTGTGCTCCCACACATCTCTATGTACTATAACTAACAGAGCTTTGATCAGGTGAAAGACACAAGCACCCAGCACCAGAGGGAAGGGGAGGAGGAGGGAAAAGAGGCAAAGGGATGAGGATTTAGTCACCTGTGAGCGGCACCTCCTTCCTTCACTTGGGTGACAACGACAGCGTGGGGTGAACGCTTTGATCCTCGGCCTCCACTAACCTGAATTCCCAGCCCATCTGATTCTTTGAGCAGCTCCATCTTCCATATCCGGCCAACTTCCTCCTTGGAAGAAAAAGTGAGCATGCGTGAAGGATGTTGACAGACACATCACATTGACATGGGAGAGTAGCACCGTCACATCAGGGCCTGAGCACCTGTCGCCTGTCACCAGCTGTCACAAATCAGCACAGGAGAAAAGGCCTCGGAGGACTGAGCCAAAGTCCGGCTATCAGTGCTATCCCCTAGAACTTTCTAGAGTAATGGAAATGTTCTGTCTGTGTCATTCTGTAGGGACTCACACTGCCCATATGTGGCTGTGGAATGTTTGAAAACATGTGGTGGCAGCCAGGTACCTACATTTTAGTGTCAGAGAATTCTAATCCCAGTCACTGACATCCGACCAGGCATCCTGATGGTGATGCATCTTCTACTTGGGATGCAGGTGCCGCCATGTATTACAAACAATGGTCTACTCTGTACAGCTGCTAACACATGTGGGAGGGTGAAAGGAAGAAAGCTCAGCTCGGGTTTGGGTACCAGGAAACCTCAGCTAGTTTGTGAGATACTCTGCTGTTTATAACTCACAGAGCCACCTAACACATAGGCAACTTTCCTTGCCTTTAATGTGAAAGCCATTATTACTGTGTTCAGGTTTGTTGTAGGACTCAATGAAGCACCCACGGAAACGGAGCTAGACAGTCCCTGTTGACTAGCCCTCCTGAGAGGCTAGGGACCAAAGTGCTTCAGATTTCTTTGCCTTTTGGAATATTCACACATTTACACTGAGATATTTTGGACACAGAGTCCAAAGTTAAATATGAAATTCATTTGTTTCATCTGTATCTTATCTAGACTAAAAGTAGCAGTAGTCAGTATTTTTAGTCCACTTGTCATCTTGACCTCATCACAAAGGTCACAGTGTGGAATCTTCCAGTTACGGTGTCATAGTAATTTTTAGATTTTAGAGTATTTTGGATTTTTGATGTTCAGATCAGATCACTTGAGCAATCATGGAAAAACAACCAACCATGTAATAATAATCAAATTGAACCTCACACTTCCCTAAAGCACATACATGAGAAATCCCACAGAAAACGGATTAATTTGATACTGTTGGTCAACAGAGCAAGTGACAGCACTGATGTGCATGCTACTTAATTATCAAAGCATGCTTCAACTCGCATCAAAACCTGCCCTTTATCCAAGGCTGATACTGTCTGTAAGCCCTCTTGTTGCTGGTTGCTTTTTAGCCTTGGTTCATTTTCCACTAGAATCCCTGTTTCATGCTAAAGGCATAAATATGATCACTGCAAAATGTTTACATTCTTTCAGATACTTCAGTGTTCAGGGATATTAAATTATAGAATCTTAAAAAAGGATTAAAATTGCATGTGTCTGTCTGTCTGTATGTACATCTGTATGAGTACCCACAGAGATGAGAAGAAGGCATCAAATCCCCAGAGGCTTGGAGTTACAGGTAGTTGTAAGCTGCATGATGTTGGTTCTGGGATCTGAACTCCAGCCCTCTTAACTACTGCACAGCCTCTCTAGCTCTCCATAAAAAGCTTTAAAAGTGATTTTTTAAAATTTTTAAATTTTCTTCAGTTCTATATTATTATTGCTAAATCTCAAGCCATATAGGCGTGAGTCACAGCACACTCCTCAGCATCTGCCTTTTCAATCCATCACGAAGGTTCTCTCATCTAAAGCTCTCATCCCTCTGGAAATGGCAACCTGCCGCTAGAGTTGCTTACAAAACAGAAGGAATGCGAAGCATTTACAAAACCTGAGACACACACTGTCAGAGGCTGAAATGAAACTGCAAGAATAGTAGAGGCCCAGATGTTGAAACACCACTGATGTGCGGCAGTTGGAATGTCTGGAAAAATCATTACCAGCCAGAGACCTGGTGGATCCTACACTTCTGTATGGTGCCGCGCGGTGGGGCTCCACTGGTCCAGCAGCAAGCAGCGGTGCCAACTGTCTCCTCCACTCCCTGACCACAGGCAAGCGCAGGCTGTCTGGCCAAGTGCAACTTCAGAAGTCACTGGCTTCCCGCAGCTGTTCGTGAACTTGTCGGCGGGCCCTACTTCATCCAATCGTCTTGCTCTGAATGCCACAGTTTTGGTTTGTTGCCTCTGACCTCTGGAACACCTCCTGTTCTCTGTTCAGAAACACCCTCCCTGGCCTTCACATCTCTCACAGCTACACTACTTCTAAAAGCCATCCTTGGGAATTAGTGTGGCTGCCAAGGTGGCAGCTTACAACAGCTCCAACACAGGAGAGCCAATGTCCTAGCACACACCACTGGAAGGAACTGACTCCGGACATGCTGGTCAGCTTCCATGCTGTTTAGCGTGTCTCTCTCGCCAACATCCCTCTTGGCTGCCTCCCTGGGCTCAGGAGAGTAAAGCAGTGGCTTCCCTTTTCCCCTTCAGGGTTCTAGCAGGTTAAGACTCCATTCCTTCTCCCCTGGCCAAGGAAATCTGTGGCTCTCCTTTTAGAACAATAGGGTCTCCATTACTGGAGTAATGGATTCAAGAGAAACTCATTTGGTTTTAGCTTAAAGTAGTAAAAATGCGTCAACCCCCATTATTACTTCATGGAATTTTTTCTTCATCTTGTCCTTGTGGTAAGCAGAAGATATAGATATGGTTCACAGAGGGGGTGAGACTAAATTTATTCCTCCTCATTTCAAAAGGCTTTAAAAAGTAGGACTTATGATTTTTTTTTAATGAAAATATGCCAATAGAGGTAGAAAAATAGCCTAACTGTATACTCTGAAAGTTTCATGAAGAACATTCACATACTCCATAAGTTCCTGAGCCCAACACACAGCTCACTAGAAACACATCAAAAGGTGAGGGGTAGCAGAGCAGGTGAACAAGCTGCCATGTAAGCCTTGCAGTACCTATTAAATAGTTCTCTGAATTCCACATGCATGCCATGGGACACAGGTGCCCCCCCCCCATTTCCAATCGTTTTTACTGGGTATAAACAAAGGTCTGTAAGAGAAGCTACCACCAACTGGTCTTTTCTCTTTCACTTTGTGGGCACTCGCGTGTGCGCACGGCTTGTGAATGTTGTGGGGAGAGGGACATTGTGAAAGCATGTGGAGGCCAAGGGCCAATGTTGGTGACTTCCTGATGTTCTCCCTCTTATGTATTGGATAAGGTCTCACTGAACCAGGGGCCACACTGGCTTGGCTAGACGGACTGAACTCTGAGTCCTAGTTGCCTGTGCCACCAGCATTGTTACAGACATGTTCATGCCTGCGTTTACATGGGTGCTATGGATCCAAACCCATGTCATGTGGTCCAGCAAGCACTTTACCAAAGGGGCCATCTTACCACCCCCTCTTCTTCACTAAGATGATTTTCCCACAATCGGCTATAGACATTGTAAGGGGATACTAGTGAACATTTGAAATTAATGAACTTTTTTTTTTTCTTGGACTTTTTCAGTGTATTGGAGGAGTTTGAATAGGAAGATAGCAACCGACTCCTCCCCCTCCTACTCCTGGATCTCCCTCCCATCTCAGTAGGAAAAGGCTGCCATGTGCTCAGCCTGCAGAGGATGTGCCAGCTCCAAATCCATGTGTGAGTTTCATCGTCACGTCCCACACACGAACCATGGCAGAGATCTGCAGGATCTGCTTCTGAAACAGATGCCACACCTACCGTCTCATCTTCCCCACTGGCACTCTCGGCAAAGCCACTAGCATCGTTGCCTTGAGTGATCACAAAAGCCTGTAATCTGGCCTCTTAGTTTACCAGCCGGTTCTACAGGATATTTGCTCCTAAACATCCAGGCTTAATGCTTTAGCAGGATGCGCCATGGCATTCCCTGCTTATGCCCCTTACGGGCTTAAACTACCCGTGGGCTTAGAACGTGGTCCACACTCCATGTTGGTGAACACGACCTTCTGTCCACCATGAAGAGCCATGGGTTGCTTGAGTTTTGAGAAGCTGGCTCTTGAAGGGGACTTATTCCCCCATTTCAGAAGAAACAGGTTTGTCTCAAAGTGTCCTCCGTTGTCCCTTGTCTGGGACTGGGATGGCCACCTTATCACTAACAGGGAAGGTGGAACAGCATAAGAATAAAAACAGTGTCCATGAGAACAGCTAGATAAAACTAATCCCAAAAGCCATTAGCCATGGGGTAAAAATGCTGACTGTGGGGAGGGGAGGCTCATTGGAAGCTCAGCCATGGAGAGACAGTTCATTCAGGACTTCAATCAACTGTCTCCACATCCCAGCCAGTCTCACTGGACACTATGAACTCCAGATTTGATGGTGTTCTCTCTATCTGTTGCCATTCAAACTTTTACTTGATGTCTCACTGGAGGGGTCACTCTGGTCTGCCTGGGATTCTCTTTATTGAGGATGTTAGTTGGCTGCCTTGGAGGGGCTTCCCCATTTGATTTCTGCTGGATGCTTTGAGGACCTGGTTTAATGATGTTTCATTGGCTATTTATCTAACTTGCTATGTACTCTTTGACTCTGGCTTGCTATACACTCAATCAGCTCCCTCCCTGGAAAGAGGAGTACCCTGGTTACCACAGATTGTCCTCTGGACTGTACGAACAACTTTGTAGGCTAGCCTGTCCACTCACCTGAGTCCTCTCCTAGGGCCATTACTTATTCCTGGAACACCTCCTGCCACTTGCAGCTGCTTTTGCTAGTTCTCCTGAAACTTTCCTGTAGGGCTGTTCTCCCATGAAATGGCTCAGCTCACATACCACCTTGTCTTTGCTGACACCTGCTATAAACTATCCCTGGGGGTAACATGTCCTGCCATCTCCCTCTTCAGCAATGGTACTTGTCATTATTTGATATTTTATGGGGTCCTTTATTGCTTATAGCCCCTTCTGTGCTGTAAATGACACTGAGACAGGGATCTGTCTAGCTCACTTATCAAATGATCCTCTAACAACCAGAACAGAGCATAACTATATCCTATAAGAGTAGCCAGGATAGAAGGCTTAACCACCAATCTCGTGGTTCTCCATCTCCACTGAGATGGGCATTACGAGGCTCTTCCAGAAGGGAGACCTGTGTGTT